AATGGGTTGAAGGGCTTATATGGTGTGCAGGCATCGTCTTGTGTTGTGTCATCGCGCATGCAACTCAGATCACAAGGGCAAGGCCACCCAACAACAGCGGTCAGTCGGATCCATGACTAGACCGCCGGCCCGCCCCGTCGTGTACTTTGCCGTCCATGCAGCGTTACGTGCGTGCGCGCTCTTACCATGCCGTTTCCAAACTCACGTTGACCATGGCTTCCCTGTTGTCTGCTGTACAGGTGTGCGCGGGCAAGATCATCCGAAATGCGAGGTGGCGACCCGGTATGTTTGTGACATCCATGATCAGCCCAGCTTACTCGTGCTGTCTGTAGCATAGAGACGCTGCTGCGCTGGTACCTCTGTTCGACAACTGGTGACTATGATTCCACTGCGTTAAGGCGGTGATGACCGAGTATAAGTTCATGTAAATTACGTAGATGGTGAATGATATAATACAGTTTTTCTATACTGTATCAAACATCTGGAAGGCATCTCGATATACGCAGCTATGGTCAGTTCTGCTCATATAGAGTCCATCCTGCTCAGTTGTGCTCAGCGCTGCTCAGCGTCTTAGTCGCTTTTCGCCGAGCCCAGCTGACGTGAACTGAGCAGAGCGGCGGTGCTATCTTGCTCAGCTCTGCTCCGCCCTGCTCAGACGGTGTTTCGACTGGGCCTGAGGTTTGAGGGCCGTTCGACCTCAATAAGGAGCACTGATGACCCAAGTGGAACAAGGGTAAGATTGGCACTGAATCTCGGGGATCTCGCGGTAAGTTCAGCGCATGGTCGAGACAAAATGACCATGTGCGACTCGGGATCGACGTGCATACCAGCGTGGAGGCGGAGTCGCGTTCGGTGACAGATAACTCTATGGAGAAGGAGTGACGGGGGCAGATCCGATGTATTCGTGGGGGCAAATCTCGACAACAACCATGACTGTCTTTATAATCCCGATTCAGAAGCAAATGGAAGAATATACCCAGTTGAATGCCGTATGTACGATCCCTTCCGAGGCCTACGTAGACGTTGCATGCGCAGGCACCTAGAGAGGACCCCATGGTTCGATATTGCACCAAAAAGCCACTTCAGAGGCTGCGGTAGGAGAGCCGCTGCGTCTGTACACATATGGTGCGGATAGAAACGACCTATGGCGAGGCCAGCGAGGCAAGTAGCCTCCAGTAACCGATCAGACCGTGAATCAGGCTCAGATGGTTCGCGAGTTCTAGTTGCAGCAAAAGAGAAAGCTGGGCACCCGACGCGTTCTTGTCGCGTACATAGGAGAGGGAAAAAAGGATGGTGAAGGCATGGGCGTGGGATTCATCGGTTGATATGCTCGTGATCCATTGCCTGAGGGCAGGCTCGCACGACGTCCGGGAAAAGGCATCGACGTAACGTCAATAAAGTGGTCAAATGTTATTGCGTGCCAAGTAAGATACAGCGCCGGGGAGCATGAGACCCAAGAATACGTCGCCCCTCCTATGCACCTTCATAGCATTCAAACTGCAAACGGACGCTGCTGGTCACAATGATCCAAAATTTGAGTTACGGCGTGCGGTCCAGTTGCGTGCGGAAACATAATCCTCGATGAGTCACGCACAGAAGAAGGCTTCACGTATCCGTCGCTGCCGTACTTGCGAGTCAGTTACAATTCTCGGCCCACTTCACCGCGCTATTGAGTAGCTCACCTGTCTGTCTCACATTCCACTTTCAATAGAATGCGACTAGACAGCGCATCATCAAAGGGTCCCGTCTCATGCTGCACGCGTGACGCCAGCCGAAAGGGCTCGAATGACAGAAGAAGCGAGAAGAGAGTGAGGCAATAGAGCTTGGACAGCTGCTGGTGGAACAAGAGACAAGTGAACGCGTTGTCAGAGACGATGAACGTGATGAACGTCAAGACGTGGCAGATGCTGCGATCATAGGAACGTTGTGGTTAGTCTCGGGGAACGAAGATGGTTCCGGTGACGTACAGGATTAGGAGCCCGCGGGCGAGCACATAGTTGCACAGCCGTGAGATGACGCCTTCTGTTTGCCTCATCCCCGTCCGCGACGAGCCGATGTAAAAGTACAGAGTCGCGGTGATCAGCACGTCGCCGAATGCTGCGATGCCCGTCCCGCTGGCCGTGATCGCCTGCTCATGTGAGCCCACTCGAGGTAAGTTCCGAGGATCAACACACCTTCCTCTCCCCGTCCATTAGTATACGGAATAAGTCGCGATGCATCATATCAACAGAAGCAACTGATTCACTGGTTAGGTGCGAACAATGGCAAGAAATCTTCGCACTTATGGATAGGATCATTCCCGCTAGCGTGGCTGAGAACTAAAGCTCGACATGAGATCTGTACGGGCGCGTATTCATCGAGATTGGTATACCAGTAGCGAGTTAATCACCAAGCCCTTGATCTCTCCCTCGCCAAGTCTCCACGTGCGATAGCAGAAGAATCTGGTATGCGTCAGCGAAGGTAACGGCGACGATGATGTAGACAGACATTTGTACACAAAACATCACGAGAGACGTGCCAAGGTTATACATAGAAATGGCCCACGGAACATCCAGGAGGACGGTCGCGTCCGAGGTGTGACTGATCAGAATGTAGTACAGCGTATGACCAGCTATGTCAGGATTTAGTCCTGTTTACACGTAGGTATGCCCTCTTACGCACTGAAAGCGGTAATAAACGTTTCCGTAATACTGTTCAGAAGCAAGCTTGAGATATAAGGGTTGTCCAGGTAACAGGGAACGTACAACAGAAATCCCACGAGGCATCGTATGAGCAGCGGGTCTCGGCGACACTCGCTTAAATACCGGGAAGCCTGCGCCGCAATATCGTCAGAGAGGGCTGACAGAGCAAGAAAGATAACACTCGCTTGTGCCAGAGTGAAACCCAAAAGACCTGTGGCAATACAAAATCCGACAAACAAAATCCCCACGTTAGCCTCACGAAGGTTGACGCCGGAAGTTGTTCCGTCCGACATCGCGAGAGTGTTCACTACGAAAGATCCGACCGACCCAGCGGGGAGAAAAGAAAGCTGGCGCGATCGTCCACAGGGTTCCGTATAAGTATGCATGCGCTCGTTTTGCGGGATAGATACGTTCTCAGGGATAGCTGATACGATTGTGCTATTCTTTGCATGATGAACACTCGATGCCAATCCGAGCTTGCGCAGCATAGCCCGTGTTGCCACACAGCCTACGGTGGCGGTATGAGCCTGCAATGGCCATCATCTTACTGCGGTGACCAGTGATTCGCCGCATTCGAAATGTGCTGATACGGTCTTTGACAAGCTCACATACCAGTAGTATTTTATATATATGCCTATCGCAGATTGAATCGATACACGTTGGCGTTCTACCCAACGAAATCTGGACGGGGCAACCGAGCGCATATGACGGTGGCGCGTTGGCACGAGCGCGAGCGCTACCGCGGGAAGACAGTGAGGAGCAGGGCACGCTCAAGAAAGGGAGGAACATCAATTAGAATGAAATCACCAGAGTCAACGGATCCTTCCAGCAAGTCGTGTCGTGGCGGACCAGAACTTGGCAATCGGCCGACGCCGGGGGTGGTGCACGTTGCCGCGTGACGTAAAGCGCATAAACGCGCGCAAACGCGTCTTTTGCGCGTCGAAGTTCCTTGCTTTTGCTTTCCTCACAACATCCAACTACTAAGCCTTTACTTGAACAGAGTTAGTGCTACCGTGTACTTAGGCCTTTCTTGTGGAGGAAAGCACGAACTATCACAACTCCCTGAGCCTGCTTCACCACGTGGTCTAGAAATATGGCCCTCATGTACGGGAAAGAGAAGGACAGTGAGACGCTGGATTTAGGTGGGTATCATAGTCATAGCGACCCCGCCTCTGTTTGACACCTGCATCGAAGATACCGTCACAGATCCTGGGTTTTGTTCGTTCTTCGCCAAGTTACCCGCCAAGTCGCCCGAGACGCACGGCACTCTTCGTCTCTTCGCGCGACATGCCTCGGATAAAGACTACTTCTCCGCTCATGGTCCCGACGCTCACTACGTCGCTCAGCACGTCTTCCACACGAACAGCGTGATTAAATGGCTCGGCAAGGGCTCGAGCGGGCCGAACAAGACCGGCCTCGCGAGCGTGACGATGAACGAGATGATGGCCAAAGGTTTCTTGCGAGAGGCCCTAACGGCAAAGCAGCTTCGTGTAGAGATCTGGGTACCGGAGAAGGGACAAGGCAAGAAGGCGACGAAGTTCGTGCTTGACAAAGAGGTGCGCATATACCCTATCTCCAGCCCGCCTATTTACTCGCGCGCATATGCTCTTCGTTCGATCCACTCATATACTCCGCGCTGGACCCGCGTATATATTCTCCATTCAACCTACACATATACTTCATCGAGCGCACCGCGCATGATCTCCATTCGACCCACGCATATATCACGCGTCGCGCCCGTGTGTATGCTCTTCGTGCAACTTCCGCATTGAAAATGCGCGATTGCTCTGCGTTCAGCACGCGCCTTTACTCTGCGGTCAAGATGCGCATACACTTCGTGTTTGACCCTCACACCATGTATATATGCTAACATATGGTTCTCAGGCGTCTCCGGGAAACCTGCAAGCCGTGGAGGATATGCTGTTCGTTAATACGGACCTCATGACTGCACCCATGGTCATGGCAATAAAGATCGCCTCGTCATCAGGTCCGCCTGGCTCGACATACGTCAAAGGTGCGTTGACTAAAGCTTATCCACACTCTGAGTGCTCACTAATCGAGTTCATCGTTCTGTAGCCACCACGAAGAATATCGGGGTCGCATTTGCGGACACGACACTGCGCGAGATTGGCGTAGCGGATTTCGCCGATAACGACCTTTTCTCTAATACAGAGGTGCGCTTCACCGTTTCCGAAGCGCCAAATGTGCACTAATCATCTGCCATCTAGTCTCTGATCATACAGCTTGGCATCAAAGAATGTCTCGTTCCCACTGGCACAGTCTCGGGCAAGACCGACCGGGACGTCGACCTCAATAAGTTGAAAGCCGTCCTAGAACGATGCGGTGTCGTGTGTACGGAGCGAAAACCAAGTGAGCTGAAGCATGCCTCGTTCTAGGATCTTATAACCCTGTTCTTTTGCTCTACCATCATGAAGAATGCGAAGCTCACCTCTTCACCCAGGTGAATTCAACTCCAGAAGCGTCGAAGATGACCTTACGCGACTGCTCAAACCCGAAGCGTCATCGTCTACTACTGCGTCGACTAGCGGTAAATTTTGTCCGTCATGCCTTTCTGTCGTCCATCACTAATGCTCTTCCTAGAACAACTCTCGCTACCAGTCGCACCGGCTTCGTTGAACGCTTTGATCACGTATCTTTCGCTACTTTCTGATCCGGCGAATCACGGTCAGTGACCATCCCTGTGTTGGATTTGACTGCATTGACTCATACACTGAGCGACTACAGGGACATGGACGATTCGTACACACGACCTCTCGCAATTCATGAAACTTGACGCAAGCGCCCTTCGTGCCCTTAATCTTGTCGATGGACCAAACGGCGAGGTACTTATAATCGTTCTCTCCTCGCCGACATGTCCATAAATCGCCTCATGTAGACCTCCGCAAACAAGAACACTACACTCCTCGGCCTGCTCAACAAGTGCAAAACAGCGCAAGGTACTCGAATGCTGGCTAGCTGGCTCAAGCAACCACTGGTTAATTTGCACGAGATCCGTATGTCTCTATCGCGCTTCCTTTCTTTGAGATATGCCGGGGCTGATCGAGAGAATGCAGGGAAGAGGCAAGATCTCGTCGAGATTTTCGTGGAGGACGCAAATTCTCGGAGGACGTTACAGGTCAGTTCGGCTCATCATCGTTGGGGATCATCCATCGCTGACCACGTTATCAGGACGAATATCTGAAGCTGATGCCCGATCTACACCGCATCTCCAAGCGCTTCCAGAAGAATGCTGCATCGCTCGAAGACGTGGTCCGCGTGTACCAGGCTGTACTGAAGGTTTGAGCGACATGTTCTTCCTAAAGCGAAGGTGTCTGACGCAACTGCATGCTATCAGCTTCCGGGCATCATCGAATCGCTAGCGAACGTCGAGTCAACCTCAATGCACGCGAAAGAACTCATCGACGAAATTTACCTCGTTAAACTTCGTGAATACGACGGCAGCTTGAACAAGTATGGCGAGATGGTGGAGACGACCATCGACCTGAACGAGCTCGACAACCACAACTACGTCATTAAGCCGGACTACGACCCGAAGTTGCAGGAGCTGGCAGAAAAGCTGATGAAGGTATTCATACCACCCTATCATGTCTCTCAACCGCGGCATGACGTGTTCGACTGTAGACAAGGGATGGCTTGGACGACGAGCATCGCGAAGTGGGGCGGGACCTCGGTCTTGAACTCGACAAACAAATCTTTCTTGAAAACTCTCCGACGTACGGGTATTGTTTTCGTTTGACCAAAGGAGTAGGTTGTATGGCTCGCTACGCCGAATGGTTCTGATGGTCATCCATTTAGGTGTCGAAGGCGGTTCACAACAAAAAGAATTATTATGAACTTGCCACGACCAAGAGCGGCGCATTCTTCACAACGTCTAACCTTCGAGACCTTGCCAACGAGTACAAGGATCTAACGGATTTGTACGCCCGGACGCAGGCGGGCTTGGTGAAAGAGATCGTGAGCATAGCTTGTAGGTGAATGCTCTACTGTGGCTAGGGTATTTATGCTGAGTTGTTTTCAGCGACGTATACTCCGGTTTTGGAGCTGTTCAATGTCGTCCTGGCGCACTTGGATGTGATATTAAGGTGGGAAAGCTGGAGGGCGGCTTCAAACAACGCTGAAGGCTATATTCAGCATGGCACACGTTGCAGTCAATGCACCTGAAGCGTACGTCAAGCCGAAGGTTCTTCAAAAAGGTAGAGGCTGTTCACCCTGATCGTCACCGATTTCTCGCCTAATCTCAAACCCTTCTCTGCAGGATCCAGTAGTTTGATACTCAAAGCCGCGAGGCATCCCTGCCTCGAGGTCCAAGACGATATCAGCTTCATACCGAACGATGTTGAGATGATCAAGGGTGCGTCCGTGACGACCGGACGCGTCTACACCTACTGATGCGCGATTTACGTAGGTGAAGGCGAATTCCAGATCATTAGTGCGTATCTCCCGTCCTCTCATGATACACACTTGCTGACCTGCTGTGTAGCGGGGCCGAACATGGTGAGGATCCAGGTCACTGGATCATCAAATTCATGTCTGATTTTTCCCTCAGGGTGGCAAAAGCACATATATCCGACAGGTATGTCCTCGTAGTAGCGCTCGCTAGCAGGTGTCTAGCTGACGTGATCCTCGAAGGTTGGCGTTATAGCCCTCATGGCTCAAGTTGGCTCTTTCGTGCCCTGCGAGGAAGCCCAACTTCCTATCTTTGATTCGATTCTTTGCCGCGTCGGCGCTGGTGATAGCCAGCTGAAGGGCATCTCGACTTTCATGGCGGAAATGCTGGAGACTGCGGCTATCCTTCGAGTAAGGCGAATATCAATCCCCTCGCAGTTGCGGAACTGACGATTGTCTAGTCGGCATCATCGAATTCGCTCATCATTATTGATGAGCTAGGTCGAGGTAAGCAGTTCTCTAATATTTCGGAGTCAATGAACAGACCGTTGATGCAGGAACGTCTACGTATGATGGCTTCGGTTTGGCTTGGGCCATCTCTGAGTAAGTGTGTTCTTGTATCACAGCACCACTTTTAACTATCTTGTGAAGGCATATTGCCTCGAAGATTCACGCCTTCTGCATGTTCGCGACGCACTTTCACGAATTGACCTCGCTGGACCAGCAGCTACCTCATGTCAGGAACTTACATGTCGTAGCCCACGTCTCCAAAAGAGGCTCAGAATTGAACGACCGCGATATCACCCTGCTGTACAAAGTCGAGCCCGGTATGCGCGTCCTACCTCCCTACTACGACATACATGACACTTCACAATCAGGCGTCTGCGACCAAAGCTTTGGCATTCACGTCGCGGAATTGGCAAACTTCCCACAAAGCGTCGTCAAGCTGGCGAGACGAAAGGCTAATGAACTCGAAGACTTCGGGCGCGGTGCGTCATGCTTATTGCCCTGTATCAGCATCCTCACGAAACTCCTAGACGAGGCCGAGGACGCCGAGTTCTCTGAAGAGGTGACAGAGGAGGGTGTCGAACTCGTTGAGGAGCTGCTGCGGACGTGGGCAACGAGGTCCGCAGGCGGAAGCGATGAAGACGTTGACATGGACGCCGCCGATCTAACTCCAGAACAACAGTTGGAGGAACTGAAGCGTTGCGTTGAAACCTTCAAACCTCGCATCGAAGCCAACCCCTGGGTACGCTCACTGCTCACCGAATTATAATCGCTATCGTCCCACCGCGATTCACTGCCGATGTATTATATGCGCGATCGTTGTTAATCGTCATTCTGTCATGCGTCTACCACCATCTCCATATCCTTCCCATTTTCAACATCTCCCGTATCCGCGCCATCGTCCTTCGGCTCGTTTGTAGAGAGGGGTTTCTCCTCTGCAGGCTGTTTCGCCTTCTTTTCGTTAGCCATTCGCGCAGCGGTTGTGAGGTCCTCGCCAAACACGCGAAGGCTGAGAGCGCTAAGGTGAGGAGTCAGCACTGTTCACCAGTGCGGGCTAATGCACTCACCTTTTGGCCTTCTTCTCGATCATCAAGCATACTGAGAAATTTGACTTCCAGATCGGAAGAATCAAATTGTGAGTGATACTAACCGTGGGTCAGCAAATCTTGGCAAGACCACGATGACTACTCACGTCCCGCCCTCGGCATGTTCGGGTGGGAAGCGGACGATATAGTTGCCGTTCGCTATGCACATGACAAACTCAGCATTGCGATAGAGGAATCACGAAAGTCCACTCACGTTCATCATCGATCTTCGCTCGGAAACTCTGCGGTAACGTGGAGCAAAGAGGATAATAGTCAGACATCAACACCTTCAGGGTCCCCAAATCGCCGTCCAGAATGGTCTCCGGTTTTATATACGGCATGACCGCCGGAAGGCCCTCGCACAGGATTCTGAACTGCGTGTCCGGCGACTTCTCCGCGCCTTGCTTGACGAACAGCTTCGTGCCGCAGGTGAGCAGACGGAGGCGGGTATAATCATTGTTTTCGATGATCGAGCGACCAATGTTGTTAGAGAGGTAGATCGCGCGAATAGCGTCCCCGACGGGGTTTCTGACAAGGACGTTGGAGGCAGGGAAGTTAGAGGTCAAATGCAACTGGTCTCTGCGCGTGTGAAGCCAGTGAGCCATTCAGAAGGTGAGCGAGTGCATGAAAGAACATACGTGAACGTTTGCACTACCGGATCATCCGCCGAAAGGAACGTGTACGGTGGCTCCTTGAAGGATCCGCCACCTGACTCTGACTCGGGCTTGCCCTTCTGTTTTACTTCTGCAGGTTTCGACGCCGTATCAGAGGAAACTGTAACCTCCTCGTCAAGCTTCTTATTGTCGCCCGCTTCGGCCCCGGAAAGGGAAGACACTTCTTCGGAAGAGATGCGGGGCTTTTTGGCTTCCGACTGCGGCACGGGTACAGGGGAACCCGCAGGGCGCTTCCTTGGCCAGCAAAGTCAGCGATGCGGCTCGCGAAATATCTGGCAAGTCGGCGCACCCAAGGCTTGCGGCGTCTTCAGCATCGCTCCCCTTCTCATCGGCCTGCTTCACCTTTTTCTCCAAGACGGCGACGAAGAACCCGCCCGTGTCCTGCAAGTGTGGATAGATCCGTATGCAACGCTCCAGCTTCAGGTTGACGCCCTCCGGCGGCGGCCACTGTCCTTCCGACATCTTCGTTTGCTTCCTGTTCTCCTCCGAAAGGGAATCGATGTATGAGGAGTAGGTGGGGAAGGATGTATTACATTCGCGATCGGATGATGGTGTCCAGGTCGACAGGCCAGGACGACGGATAAGGCCAGGGAGGCGGTCGGAGACGTCGATCAGCTCATAATCTACACATACAGACTAACATCAGCGGATGCATAGCACGGAGGGGAAAAGACAGACGTACCGGGGACGGACTGAAGAGCCGCTGAGACGACGGCCTCGTTCTCAACCGGGTTCAAGGAGCAGGTGGAGTACACGATGCGACCACCATCCTTGAGCATGCGCATGGCGCGTTGGAGAATACGAAGTTGGAGACTATGAATGACGGATTTCGTAAGATCAGGCATGATCGTCAACAAATGAGGGAGTATATACTCACGAATGGAGGCCGTTGCCATCCATGGGGCTCCAACGCTTCCATATCGCCGGGTTCTTCCTCATCGTTCCATCTCCGGAGCAAGGCACGTCGCACAATATCCTATCGAACGCCAGCACGCCCGCCTTCTTCTTCTCTGCTCGCGTGTGTCCGACGAAATCGTCTGCTCGCCCGAACGTCGTCAGTATGGTACAGAGGGCGACAACTCAATGTATCCACCTTCTGCGGCACCGACACGAATGACAGGGTATATCGAGGCGTCAAGGTTGGTGACCATGAGGGAAGGAGAAGGAAGGCGAGCAGACTGGTGGATTAGCATGTGCGCGCGTTTGTTGTCGCTGTCGTTCGCGATGAGGAGGCCTGTGGGTGTGGAGGAGGAAGTGAGGGTGTCATGAGCATGAAGAGCTTCGAGGAGCTGGGCTGTTTTTGATCCAGGGGCAGCACACATGTCTATTACCTGCGTATTCGGGTCTGGTCAGCGGGGGAGATGGTAGCAAGGAGCGAAAAATCGTACCCTGTGATGTGGTTGGACGTCTAGAAGGAGAGGTGGAATCATGCTAACAGCTTCTTGTCGAGATATGTTGCCCTGTGAATTATACTCAGCCCATATCCTGATGTAAGAAGGAGGTGACATACGACTTCGGTTTCGAAGACGAGGAACGAGTGGAACTTCTTGAACTCGGGTTGCTTGCGCAAGGCGCTTTTGTGGGCATTGAATTGCCAGGCTAGACCATCAGGATACCTGATCGTGGCAATTCATCAATTGATAGTCGAAAGGAGAGCCTGCTGGGTACACGCACCATGGTAGCTGCACAGGGGGCGGTAACTCTTGTCCTTCGAATTCGACGCCCTTCAGTTGCGGCGTATGGGTGGTTTTGATGGTCTCGTTGAGCACTTGAGCAGCTCTGCACACAGGCTTGGGATCAGAGGACCGTTCTCTTCATCCACTACGGAGATCGTGGATTCACATGGAACATCATACGCACTGGCGACTCCCCGCGACCCGAAACGTAGTTGGGAGCGGAACGCGCATGGCCTCCCACAGCTGGTCCCATTCATTATCCGGTACTATCTTCTGCGTTCTGTAGTACTTCTCCATCCGCGCGTTCTGCATGTCGGATTTTTCGATGTGGCCCACGGCATCGCGCGAGCCGCCCTTACCGCGACCTTTCCTCTGATGATTTGCTCAGCAACATGCAATCCGACAGACGAAGATGAGGCATACTTTAGGCATAGTCCTGTATGGTCTAATGTTCACGGGTACAATCAGACCAAAGACTCGTCTTCTGAAGCTCGCAGCCAATGTCAAGCGAATTTCGGGTTATCGAGGATATGGCTCACGTGGACGTCAAACGAATCCAGCGAGCAACTCGCCGCTCGCGGTTCGACATCGTTCCTCTTGGCATCACCATATTTTGCTGCAGTCACATTTGTCACTCATGTTCAGGGCTTGAGGGAAGCATTTCTCGAAGCCGGTGATGCTTTTCAAAACCGCGAGTCACTACGCGATGCATGCCGTTTTTTGTTCAGAACCCGGGCGGATGACGATCAGGTCTCTCTCCCGGCTGCTTACATTCTCGTCCGCCCGGACATTGTCGTCGGTATCATGCTCCTGAAGCACTCCTCCGGCTCGACAGACATGTCGTGCTACGGATGCGGCGCGACGTTGAACCGGCCTTGAGATCGTCTCTTCGAATGCGAGTCACATTCAATAATGACGGGTCCTTGCTCAAGATCGTTGGCAGAACGCTAACAATTATGTGCGGGTTCGCGACCCCCATAGATCACCTTGGACCGTTGGTGAGGCGCGTCGCGGCGTGAATCTGTCCTCGATTCTCTCGCTCAAGACACGGCAATTCAAGGGATACAGCTGGCCCCGCTGCTTATGCATTCCGTGTTTACATTTTTCCCGCTTGAACATCAATACACGCCCGATCGTCGTCCTCAAACAGTCGAAGCGACTTTATCGGGTTTTGTGATATCCAGGATCTCGGCATTGTAAGGCGACCGCAGGGAGAGCTCGTAATCGCGAGCCTGCTCCTGTGTGTCCAGTATGTGAGCAGATGATGTACAGTGATTGTGGGGCGCAGGAATTACTTGCTTTAGACACGCGGACAGCAACTTGAACGCTCCTCTGAGAAGATCGAGGGACGGAGTAAGCCGTCGCTCGCTCACGTAGAACGTGACGAGCGTTCATCCTGAAGGGAGGTGAATTGGAGTTCATATTCTGTCCAGCAAAGAGGCGCACATAGCAAGGAAACTGTTCAAGTAGAGTTTCGACAGCAGAATCTCCATAGAAAGGTAGATAAAGTTGTTCGCCATCACTGCGAACTGGCATAGGCTCGGTTGGTAGTCGACCACGTTGTATACTGATGTATACTCACCGTGACAAGGATCACGATGGCGCATGCGCTACGACATTCTCGTTCAGCCTACAACTTTGTGACAAGCGTAAAGCCGCACCTTGTAAGTAGACCCGTTGCGACGACATAGTACATCAGTGAGTGGATAATTGAACGCGCTCTGGAAGCCATTTGAAAACATAACCATGGAGTATAGATGGGATGACATACCTCGGGAAGTCTGATCTTGTGCGGTATAGATAGAAGCATAACGTGAACGATATCGCGGTGTCTACGCTCGTCGAGATGCCGAAGTCCGCGAATATCGTTGCCTACATTTTGATGGGTCATGGAGTATTCTTTAGATACATTCACACGTAACGACGGCTAGTACCCTCGTGCTACGACCCAGGAAGTCTTTGAATGTGTGAAGACGATAGCTGTTATAGTGTTATTCATTATGTGGAGGCGGTTGATTTGCTCACGAGGGACTCACGCGTCCCTAGTTGACACTGCGCACGATGATGTTAACATTACCAGAATATCGACCTGTCAGCAACCTACTGCACCCCACGACTGACCCAAGTCATATCAGTGTGATTAAACGAATCAATGTGTGACAGTGTACGCACTCCATCCGCCGATGACCGTCAAGAACTGGATATATCAGGGGTCAATACATTCCTGGGACCCGGCTTATGGAATCATAGATTACCACGATGAATGGGAGGATGCGGTCGTCTCCTCTGACTGAATATTACAGAACTGGAGTGTTAACTTAACAGCACCCCAGAAAGGCTCGAAAACCCACGTTTCCACACGCGCCATGCGTATAAGCTTTGCACACAGGGAATGAACAGGGCTGTTATCGCTATTTGGAGCTGAATATCTGTCAGAAAGATCAATAATAGCGCTTTTTCAGACTCTTCACACCTTCATACTCCTGGAGAGCAGTCAGCGGGTCGAGTGATATGGCAGCACTGAGGACGCACCATACGACGTAGAGCAGAGCAAGCTCGTTCGCGAAGTTATCGATGGTGTAGTAGTATATGGTGTGCATATTCAGAGCAAGAATGATGGCGTCGAATGTCCAGAGGATTGCAATCTGCCCGATAGAGCAAAGCATCAATATGCAGTTGCCACAGTCGACAGAGGGATGACAATCAACTGATATCTTCCAAAACCTGGAATCTTCCGGGAACCTTCCATAGTATATGTACATCTTGTCAATATATGAGCAGAGGTAACTATTAAACACGGGTTCATGCTCACCTGAAGGTTTGTTATACCGAACAAGCTTTGCTTCCAATGAGCGACAAGCATCGTGTACATTAGTGTAAAGAGCGAACATTGCCGAAGCTACCATGCCTAGGAACAGCGCACCAAACGTGTTGCTCATGGATTCAGATGCTGCCATGAGGCTCCTTCGCGCTCGGTACGACGGAGTATAACTAGTATGACGCGGAGATTCCGTGCGGGAGGGTCGTACAGCACGGGCAACGGGCTAAGAGGTATTTTGCACATTGTGCTGTCCAGGCCCGTCGAAGTGCGGGAAGGACAGCATCTCGAAACTGCTCTCGGTCAGAATCTGTTGCAGGTATACAATCCCTGACACTATCGAGGTGCCATGCTGATGAGATGATACTTCTGCATATACAGCGCCGGCGGCCGATCAGTACCCCGAGCACTTTTTATAGTCGGACTTCGTGACTACGGAGATATCTTTGCCTTGCGAACATCACATGCACACGAGTACGCGGAACAAAGTCTGAACATGGTACAGTATGTGAAAAGCAGGAGCCAGCGTCGAGCAACCCTCGGTCCAGGTAACACCTGCTAAAACTCCGCTGCACAGCCTGGTTTTTCACGCCACATTGATTTTGATGCGTCGGGAGTCCAGGCCTCGCCGTGCACCGCAATTCATTGAATACACCTTTATTATTGGCCGCGTTCCAATGATGATGCGCTACTCATACCTGCTTCGACTGCTCTCATCATTCACTCCTTTCAGATAGCTCTGTTTGTCACTCCGGCATTTTTGAGGCGATTTCACGACTTTCCACTTCAGCCACTATCTCCGTGCAGTGCTCCGTGGGTACCTTGCGAAGGTGAACCGATTCTCTTCACGTCAAGATGTTCATTAACGTTGAATCTTTGGCGTGACCGCTCGTTGAGGTCAGGGTGCGTTCACGCCCTGAATGTGAAGATAGCACCGACTTGCCTATTTAGGACTTGACCTACGTGTCTTCGGATAACATGCACCGAAGATACCCTTCGTCCAATACCGTTGCCCGACAAGCGCCGTACCATCGCCGCAACAAAGCGGGAAAGAGTAGATAAGAGAGCACGAGACTAGAATCTCGGAGCAGCTGATGTGACCGTAAACTTTACTTCCTGGAAGATATGCCGAGATCTGAGGCTGGAGCACCGCTTCTTGTATTTTTAGCAATATTCACGATATATGTCGCGATGCAGGAAGGCTTATAGCGACACGTCTTCAACACGGGTAAGGTTTTAGATGTGCCGCCTGCCACCCGCTGCTCTCCCAGTATACTGAGCAGACGGTATAGCATTTTGTACACGATGAAACATGGCTCCATCACTAACCATCAACAACACATTCGGGGCTTTGTTTCTTGGCATGGTTATATCATCGGTGTAAGCAATATCATTGGGGATTGTCATCATTTTGAACTATCTGCAGGCTGTTTGGTATCACAAATCTACAGGCACGCCCGATAATAAACCTCCGTTATTGATACTCTGACCTGGCGATGCAAGGTTTACGTCTACTTCAATCGTTTCCCCAATGACTCGATGTTCCACAAAACATCGGTACGATTTCAACACCTGTCGAAATTCGCAGCTGACATCAGCCTCCAATGTGAATGCAGGTGGCGGGTCTATGGATCTTCGACGCTCTCATCTTGGCTTTGACTATACATGCAGTATACTATTATACCATCAGCAACTTCGCGGATCCGCTCGCTCTTATTTTCATGAACTGGTAAGCTTGTGTGTGCTCTCCCACGCTCTTTACTGACATATGTACTTCAGGAGCATGAAGGTATAGGAGCTGCTCTACAGCCGAACCACGCTCTGATGTAACCCAGCTACAAGTAACTCTGACAAGTCTTCTTGTTCCAGTCCTTCAGAGCTTGTACACATGGCGAGTCTGGAAGCGTACGTGGCTATTGCGCATGTATGATGCAATACAAGTATTGATATTTACTTGAACATGCCCACGGAAGTTAGAGGAAGCGACCGTGTCGTGCCAGTAACCCTTGTAGGTGGTGTACACAAACTCACCTCATACACTGATCTAAACAGTATGATGCATGTGGAAAGTGCATTGCGGTAGTAGGGTGCTTGAGTGAGGACAATTACAAGATCACCATATATCTTACTTACTTCAGCAAATCGTAGCGAGTGCAATCAGTAAGGTTTAATCTTGTGATGACTGTTCTACCACTCACAGTATCTTAGTAACCATCCGCGAAACGTAAGTCGCCACAATCACGAGGACCAGCCCATGATAGACCCGTTTTCTTAGATACGAGGACTACATGTTCTCTGACATACTGAGGCGCATTTCGAAGGTATCAATTTTCTCACTATAGTCACAAAGTTTACCAACAAGAATCTCTTCAACAGGATATAGTGTATTCGGATTTCTCTATTTCTGCGGGATTAGATATTTCGATATCATCTGTGCTATGCTACTATCTCTATCGGTCGAGGTCGAGATTCCCGCGGTATGTCGACAACTGCTGGAGCGCACATAATTTGACGAAGCTTGTACAGGACACGGTCTGTGGTGCATAATATCATGTACTGGATTGTCGCTACAGGAATGCTCACAAGGTTGGCCATTACGTTTCATCCATTCAGCAAGGTAGTCACTGACAGTATCAGCACGATATCACTTGTGATCCTCATTACCGTGAGTGTCCGCGCCTCGCCATTACATGCTCGATTGTTTACCTAGAGACAAGGCAGTTCATTATGATGCCGAACAACATGATATTTCTCGCAATCGAAATTTTGATGGCCAAGTTATACGTCAATAGCTTTCTTGCAATGTGAGCAGATCTTATCTCTGGGCCATTACATGCGTACTTATACTTCTCAGGATGAATGCACGAGGGGCTCTTCGCGATACATCACACAAGCAATCTCCATCTGTCTCTCGCTCCACTCAAAGGACGGTAGCTGTACATGTGGAAGAGGTAACTCAAACACTCGCACATTGGTATTCAAGCCTGATTGTGATGACTTCGTCAGGATCGCCGAGTCATCCATGACTTCGAGATGTCTCCACAATCACCCTTTGACAAGGACGTTATGGATATCACCAAGTCGGACACCATTGCCGTGGCGCTGTGATCCGTTGGATGTGGCATACGCTGCCCCACTGGGGTGGAGCAACAGGGCACGTTCCAGTTATAGCGTATTTGCGTGTGAGCCCGACAATGGGATCTTTGCTAATACAGTCCTGATGGCTTCCCCGGAGCCGGGGTAGACGGAGGCAAGAGTATCATTCTGCTCAATACCCACACCATTTCTGAGCCAATTTTTGAGTCAAACACGACATCATACGTATTTTGAGAACACCTCCCTCGACGGGAACGATATGAGATCCCGGAAGAAGGTGCAATCTCTTTCCTGCACCCAAACTGTTCATGCATCAGAATTGTCAACTTCCCTAACTCGGGAGTCAGTATTCAAACACATAAAAACGCGAAGGTGTTGATAGAAGGCACATACATGCGACTTGCAGAACAACGGTGAGACAAACCGAGAACCTAAGTACCTATCTCCGTATGCAACCGGGCCCGGCAGAGCGTGAGGGATTATAGTCGCCGTGAACTAAGTATTTCTGCATGACAACGTGGATAACGAGGCGAATGGTGCCGGCTTAGTAGACAAACGAATATCAAGATAAGATTCGAGTAGGATGAGTATTGCTCATTTGACGATGCTGATTGCGACGTGAATGGGCGCTTATTTGCACCGCCACGAGGTGCACTATTTCTCTTCAGCTTACAAGTTACAACTTACGACGTAGCGATCTGTCCAACGCGTGAACCGGTGCATACAGTCTCACATGGCGCTACGTTACAAGCGGCGCTGTAATCTCGAGGCAAAGTCGCTGTGCTCATGGACGTTTACGACTTCGCATCAAAAACTCGCAGCGACGCAGCAGCACACGGCATGCGAAGGAAAGAATGAGTCCAGGAAATGGGATAAGGGATGGAACGTTAACACTGTTGGGCAATTGTGCATCGTCGATGGATGTTTCTGCAATCCACAATCGACAGGACTAACACGCTGACTGTTCCCTTCCGTCAGATATTACCCCATGGAGAAGCAACGGCACCCGGGATCAACCCGAATGAAGTGACCCTCATGACCCCCAAACGCTGTTCCGAATGTTCGTCCGCATCACCTGTATACCCGATCGCTCTGGGCGTCAAGCATGCGAGCCCTATGCGAGCCTCAATCACGGACCAGCAGCTCATCCACTCCCTGCTCACAACATGTATCTTCCTGCGTCTGAGCATTCTCAGGGCGTTCGTCAGAATGATGTAGTCAGCGTAATTATCTCCAACCCTGACTCACGACCCCACAACCACGAGGAGATGAGACGATCGTAGCCATGCTTGGACCCCAAAGATCTCCGGACATCAACCCTGTCGATGCAGTAAACGCCGAGGCCTTCTTATAATCAGAACAAGGCAGTATATCCTCAAAGTTTCCTATACGTCAGCTCTCTGCCTCTTCTTTCCGATCGCCATCCTCTCCCCGTCAGCAATCGACGGCATGTCTACACCGCAATTCACTGAGGGAGAAATCGACTTCGACGCTCCCGGCGCCGGCAAGCCGTGCAAAACTTGGTACAAGGTGTTCGGAGACCTTTCTTCCAAGACGCATCGACCACTTCTGGTCGTCCATGGCGGTCCAGGTACGCTATCATCGCACATTGTCTAGCTCATGGCTAACCCTCGTCGTAGGTGTCGTTCACCAGTATCTCCTTCCGATATCTCAGCTCGCCACGGACTATGGTATACCGGTCATTTTCTACGACCAGATCGGGAACGGGAACAGCACGCACCTGCCCGAGCTCAAGGACGACAAGTCCTTCTGGACCGAGGCTCTCTTTCGCGCCGAGCTCGACAACCTGATCGTCAAGCTCGGCATCCAGGATGACTTTGCCGTCCTCGGGCACTCGTGGGGCGGCATTCTAGGCGCACGGCTGGCCGTGGACCACACCCCGGGTCTGAAAAGACTCATCCTCGCTGACAGTCTGACGAGCATGGAGCTCTGGTCCCGCTCGCTACGCGAACTGCGCGCCGGTTTGCCGCAGGAGCTCCAAGACACGCTTCGCAAACACGAGGAAGATGGCACCATACACTCCACTGAGTATCAGGCCGCCGTCGGTGCGTACTTCCAGTTGCATGTTTGCCGCCTCAACCCCATGCCGGAGGAGCTCATCAGCACATTCGCGGAGATGGGCAAAGACCCCACAGTCTGCGTCGCCATGTGAGCATATCGTTTCTGTCTTTTATATCAAGACTATCCTCGGCTGACGTCGCCTCGCGCAGGTACGGCCCGACGCAATTCGAGGTGACGGGACCTCTGAAAGACTATAACATCGAGGCGGAACTCGACAAGATTGAAGTTCCGACGCTGCTGATCAACGGAAAGTACGATGAATCGAGGAGCTACGTGATCCAAAAGTTTTTTCGACCTGATTCCGGACGTGAGCTGGACGAGGTTTGCGCAGTCCAGCCACATGCCGCACCTGGAAGAGCGTGAAAAGTATCTGCGCGTCGTCGGCGCGTTCCTCACGCAATCTTAGCGCTCGAGCGCTGTCGCGATTACATTGTACACTGTATATTATGTCCTTCAAACTTGCTTCAAACTGACTCCAATGATAATGTCGACTTCTGCGGTGATGTGGCGCGGCGAAGACAAGTTATATGGGCGCCTATGGTTATTGCCACTGGGCGCTTAGTACTTGGTACTTAGCTAGGACCTTGACCAATGATACAGTCTTCATTCTCCAGGAGCGAAGACAATATACCTTGATCCTTGATACTATGATGGGACTCGCTATCTGCTACATCGTTGCTCTGATTCTTCATCCGAAGCTCTTGTTGGAGCACTTCATTGCGCTAAGTGGGCAACCTGGTGCGCCTGAGCACCGATGAGGGCACATCGAGTGGCCACGAAGTTCTCAACCCCGTCGTGCGGCACGAACTTCCGAAATTCGAACAGGCCTTAGGATACTGGAGAATATTGGGACGAGCAGACTATATGATCCGATGCGACTGTACGTTCATTGGTGCGGGCTGTTCCAACTCGCTGACTACTCGCTTCCATCAGGTCGATACGCAGGATGTCGCTTGCTCCGTGGAGAATGTGGTTCGGCTGAGAAGGTCGGGATTTGACGGAATGATGCAACCAATGCAGTCAATGCAGTCTATGGACGTGCGAACGCATCGTCAGCACGTCCAGCGGACTCGCCTACAACTCTGTACCCCATTGTGCACTCACATCTGCTTCACCTTCAATTCATCAGCCGCTGTTCACGCTTTTCAATTCCTCTTTCCTTCCCTCGATGGATTTGAGCATCTTCTGGGGGTTCGTGAGGATGATGCTGACGGAGTCGTTCCCTCCAGCCCCAACCTGGACCGTGAAGGACGTGCCCGAGCTCAAGGGGAAGGTGATCGTGGTCACAGGTGTGCATGGTGTTTCCTGTGATATATCCTCCTGACGCTGTGCTCCAGGTGGCAACTCCGGTATAGGGCTCGAGGTCGCGAAGGTAAAGGTTTGGGTACGCTTTGTGAACAAGGCCAACTAATACTGCTACTAAAGGTTCTAGCATCGCGCGACGCAAAGGTGTACATTGTGAGTACACCGATCATCGTTGCGTATAGGTATATGGCTAATGGATGATTCTTTTGGTTGAAGACATCACGAGATATAGCGAAAGGGGAAGCCGCGCTTGCTGACGTAAAGCGTGATACGGGGCGCGAGGCGTACCTGCTCCAGCTGGATCTTTCTGATCTCGATTCCGTCGAAGTTTTCGTCGCAGAGTATCTGCGGTGCGTCAACCTCCGCCATCGTATCGAGCGCGAGCACTGAACGAGGCATCTACGGCTTGTAGGATGGAGTCGCGTCTGGACATTCTGTATAACTCGGCGTACGTGCCTCGATCCCCACTATATCCTCATGCTTGACTGATACGTACTCTAGTGGGGTCATGATACCGCCTATCGACGCGCTTTCCAAGCAGGGATACGATCTGCAATTTGCTACGAACGTTCTCGGTTAGCGAACCTATCGATCCTCAACTCCGAGCCTCACTTACGATTTCCAGGTCACTACTACCTCACCAAGCTCCTGCTTCCTCTGCTCATAACTTCTGCGAGGACCAGTCTTGACGGCATCGTTCGCGTAATCACAGTCTCCTCTGGTGCACACCACGGACACGACATCTCTTATGAAACGCTCCGGGACGGACCGGCACGACGAAAGATGTCTCCGTCGTATCTTTACGCACAAAGCAAGTTCGCCGATGTTGTTTTTGCCAAGGAGCTCGCCACACGTTATGGAGACAGAGGGGTGGTTTCCATATCCCTCAATCCGGGAAACATAAAGACTCCTCTGCAGCGTCAAATAACCGGATTCATAAAGTCGACCGTAGTGAGTGGTCGATCAATGGCGAGTGAATGCATTTCCTGACCGACGATCAGGATTGGATGTTGCATCCGGTGGTGCCGAACGGAATCGTGACGCATCTTTGGGCAGGGACTGCTCCGGAGACAGCGCAGTACAACGGTCTTGTAGGCATCTGTATTCCATTCCTCCTTATGAATGCTGATCTTATATCAGTATTGCATCCCATGGGCTCGTCTTGGCAAGCCTCGAAGGGACACTCAAGACCCGCAAGTTGGACAGCAACTTTGGCAATGGTTGGATGACCAAGTGGTGGGCCGCTCTACCATATGATGCACCCGTCGTGTCTATTTCTATGCTGCAGTAGTGCCTGAGTTCTAGTCATGGGCGCGTTAGAGCTCGAGAGCCACCTCATGACATCCATGTTGGTGCCATTGAGCCGTTTGTACCAAGGCACGCTCACTCTGTCATGCGGATTCCAATGCCGATGTCAAGTCCGTCACACCCATGTTGGGATTCTTGGGCTCACCAGTGTCCTACGAAATTGATTGTGATCCCGGTTCGCATCTTTCGTCGCGAGGCCCAAATTGCTGTTCATCGACATGCGGTCCTGTCAATTGCAAGCCGAGAATGCAGTACGTCGCTGCAACTCCTTCCTGCGAAGCGGCACGTGTGACTGGATAACATCGGTATCGTGCGCCGGCGGAGGCCAGTCGACTGCCTTTGTGACTGCCTCTCGCGATCGTTGTGTGGTCAGTCACCATCTGGCACCCACTACCTGAACCGACCCATCTCGGCTTCTTCCTCCGTGTTGAACCTGCTTATCCAATCCCTGTCGGCATTGTCGCATGCCTAGGCTGTACTGCGTATTCCTAGAGAAATGAGGAACCGCATGGCTCCGAACCGCTGCGCGTGAGTCATAGACCTTCACTTCCGACCCCTCTCAGTCGCCACTTGCCAGACATGACCAACAACATGTCTAGCCCGAAAATCACAGAAGGCGAAGTGAACTTTGACGCTCCCGGCGCTGGAAAGCCATGCAATACCTGGTACAAGGTGTTCGGAGACTTATCATCCAAGACGCATCGACCCCTTCTGGTTATCCACGGCGGCCCAGGTATGCTATCCCCAGACCGCGACGTACCCCTTCTTCTCATTGTCGACGATCGTCGCAGGCGTCGTCCACCAGTACCTCCTGCCGATCTCGCAACTCGCCGCGGAGCACGGCATGCCGGTCATATTCTACGACCAGATCGGGAACGGGAACAGCACGCACCTGCCCGAGCTCAAGGACGACAAGTCCTTCTGGACCGAGGCGCTCTTCCGCGCCGAGCTCGACAACCTGATCGTCAAGCTCGGTATACAGGACGACTTTGCCATCCTGGGGCACTCGTGGGGCGGGATACTTGCCGCTCGGCTCGCCGCGGACCGCGCTCCGGGTCTGAAGCGCCTGGTTCTGGCCGACTGTCTGACGAGCATGGAGCTCTGGCTCCGCTCGCTCTCCGAGCTGCGCGCGGGCCTGCCGCAGGGGCTGCAGGACACGCTCCGAAAGCACGAGCAGGACGGCACGATCGACTCGGTGGAGTACCAGGCGGCCGTCGCGGCGTACTACCAGCTGCACGTCTGCCGCGTCGACCCCATGCCGGAGGATCTTGCGAACACGTTCGCGGAGGTGGGCAAGGATCCCACGGTATACGTTGCGATGTGACCGCCTCCCGCGTTTTGCTTCAAAGGTGCCCTTCGCTGACGACGCTCCTCTCGGCAGGTACGGTCCTACGCAGTTCGACGTGACCGGCGCGCTGAAGAGTTACGAGATGTCGGAGGCGGACATGGAGAAGATCGAGGTGCCGACGCTTCTGATCAACGGCAAGTACGACGAGTCGAAGGACTACGAGATCCAGAAGTTCTTCGACCTGATCCCGGACGTGAGCTGGACGAGGTTCGCGCATTCCAGCCACACGCCTCAGCTGGAGGAGCGGGAGAAATATCTGCGCGTCGTCGGCTCGTTCCTCACGCAATCTTAGGGTCACGGTGTCGCTGCACCGCTACGTTTTTACCTGGAATCGATATCTTCGTGTTCCCACATTGTACTTCCGCATTCAGTACAGCTTCCGGCTTTGCATTTTTTTTTCATTTTTTTTTTTTTTTCGAATCAAAAGCCTGCCCGTGCCCTAAAGTAAAAGCCCATTCCGACTGGGATTGACCGGTTCCCACTCTCACCTGCGCTACAGCCATCTCTCAGCGTCGAGCCGCAAATATCACCGAGCGCATTGTCTTAGAGAGTTTGACAGCCGACCTTGATCCCTGGGAAACGCATGAAAGTATATAAACCTCCCCCCTTATCAGGAAGAGTGCATAAGTATTCGTGAGAACGCTCTTGTTTGTTGGATATGCGCTCAAGGAGCGGACGAGAATGGTCCGACTTGGAAACTTGGACGGCCAGTTGGGCGCTCCCCTGGAAAGATGGAGGCGCGGAGTAAGCCGCCGCTCGTTCACTTAGGACGTGACGAGTGTTCATCCTGAATGAAGGTGAGTGATGTCAATTCATTCTGAGCAAAAAGGAAGCGCACATGGCAAGGAAACTGTTCAAGTAGAGCTTTGACAGCAGGATTTCCACGGAAAGGTGGATGAAATTGTTTGCCATCACGGCGAACTGGTATGCACTGGGTCAGTAGTTGACGACATCACATACGTCTACCTACCGCGTCAAGAATCACGATGGCGCATGCGCTGCAAAATTTTCAACGAGCCTGCTATAATGCGACTAAGCGCTGGATCGCACCTTATCAGCAAAGCCGTTGCGACGCCATCGTACGCCAGGGAATGCACGATTGAAGGTACTCTGAGAAGGATTTGAGAACGAGAACAATAAACATAGGAGATAGGTGGAATGACATACCGAAATCCTGATTCAGTGTAGTATAGATGGAAGCACAACGTGAACGATAGCGCTGTGCATACGCTCGTCGAGACACCCAAATCTGCGAACATCGAAGCCTAAAGATTAACAAGTCACTGAGTGTTTACTTGGAGACATTCACACGTAGCGTTGGTTATCACCTTCATATTCAAGTTGTGTCCAACGAAATCCTCGAATGTGTGAAGACAATAACTATTACGTTCAATCAGTACGCAGTCTCCCCTTGGTCTCACGAGGGACTCACGCATCCCTAGCTGACACTGTGCCGGAGGATGTCAACATATCGCGAGTTTCGTCCTGTCCGCAACCTACTGCACCCCACAACTGAGTCACATTTTGAAGTGTAATGAAGCGGGTAGATTCACGACAGTGTACGCACTCCATCTGCCGATAACCGTCAAAAACTGAATGAATTAGGAGAAAATTCAGACCTTTTGTCTAGTCAAAGGACTATTGTCTCACTATAATGATTAGGAGGATGCGATCCACCCTTCTGACTTAACATTGTAGAATCAAAATTATATGGTACCTTTAAAGGTGGAAAACACACGCTTCTGCACGCGCCATGCGTATAAGCTCTGCACAGAGGGAATGAGCAGGGCGCTGGCCGCTGTTTGGAGCTGAATTGTTAGATTAATCTAGGGATTAATCCAGGATATAGTCTCATCGGACTTCCCCCACCTTCATACTCCTGGAGAGCAGTACATGTCGAAACTCTCGCTGTTTGCGGTGGAAGCATCCTTGAAGTGCACAGGCTGATTAGTTGCACTGTTTGCGGTTGTCGAATTTGCGATATGAGAGAGAGTCACGATTTCTCCCGGCCCACGAAGAGTTGCGCGGAAAAGACTTCGAGAGTTGAGCCTAAGAAATACCAACTATGTCAGTGTTCACTCTCGCTACGCCATTATCACCACTGACGTCGACATGAATGCGCAAGAATATACTGAAGAATAGTCCAATCACTGCTGCGGCTTTTCTGTGCATGAAAAAGCACTCACAGCGTATGAGAACGAAATAAAACGGCGTGTAGAGCATCTCTTGATCATGGGTCACGAACTAGGTATTGTATATCCGGTGAGTAATAGATACGTGTATGATATCAATGGCAAAAAATACCGACCACTGTTAGCGTGATGATGGTGAATTTGCCACAGTAGTGTTCAACACCTGGAAGTCAGCACATTGATCCAAGTTGTAGCTCACGTTTTCAGGAGCCCTATGCGCATATAAATTAACAGAACGCGGTACTACATAGCGCAAGTCTAACCGGTGTTCAGCGAGTACGTGATAAGCATATTAATCGCTCTGTTTGTCCTGTAATGCATTTATCAGCACATCGGGTAACGTTAAGTGCTGGTGACCTACTTTGCAAATTGTGTACGACTTCGATTGAGATAGTACACCATCGCGATAGTGATAACAACATCACAGGCGAAGTCGATTGAGAGCGCACTAACCGACCACGGCTAACGGAAGGATAAACGACACAGTATCAAGAACTGGACTGAAGGTGAACACCAACCAGGTTCTCCCCCGTCTTGGAGAAATATTTGAACTGGAGGCTGATCATACATACGGTCAGATACCGGGTACAGTACAGCACCCTGATTTACCCTTTCACCGTGAATACTGCGTCACGGTGACGATGTCGGTCAGTGTGGCCACACAGACGGGTGCATATAGCAAGTTACCTACCTACGGACGAGGCTGATTGTACGTCAGTACCTCTTAAAACAGGCTCAACTGGATAACTCACAGAGCTGTCCGAGGGATAGAATTCACTATTGCAAACCATGTCATCAATTGTCAAACAAGAAAAACTTGAGCCACGCACGATGAGCAGTGGTACCCACCCATTCATCGAGTCACTCACTTCACATGGAACATGAACTACTACGAAAGAAGTTCAACAGCCCGGGACACTTACATCGATAAACACGATACGCAAAGAACCTGGTTATGGATGGTGAGATCATTCTGGTAAATGGCTGTATGTGTGTTGACAGTGCTCACTGTTGCACCATGCACGTCGAAAGGTGCTATAGAAACCGTGTCAGTACCTCGATCCTTCGTCGATCCTGTTTTTGCCTCACCCCTATGAAGACTTGAATCTAGTAGGACAGGTTTGATGAAAACGCGAAAACATGAGGTACAATACTCGTACCATCAGAGTCCTGCCAAGATGTGTATCAATGAATGAAACGATGAGTGTTAGCTAACATAGCATACGAGGTGCTGCTGAGAAGAGCGAGGAAATCTCCGAAATTTGTCACCGTATAGTAAAAGATAACGTGGATCAAGAGAGCGACATAGACCGTGTCCAAGGTCCTTTACGAGTATCAGTATGCCATACATGGCGGGATAGTTTTGCTCTCACATGAGAGTTGCAACCGGGCCATTGGTATCAGTGAGAGGAAAGGCATGTAGACGAAGACCGCACAAATATCTTGAGAAACAGTCGGTCATCCTTGGAGTATTCTGTGTAACACAAGTACACCTGGAGACAAGTGATCACGTAGATTCTGTGACACAAATAAGCGCTAAAGCCAGGGAATAGCGTCTCTTACACAAGCATGGACGAGACAATAATTCCAAGGAGAGCTGCACCTAGAAGGTTGTCGAGATGAATGGCAGGCATGATCGTAAAAACAATGGCAACTTCATTGGTTACGCAAGCTACCGCATACTTATATAACGCCGAGTAGCTACAGACATCATATTCTCCTGATGGAACTGCTCGAAATCCGTCGGTAAGGCACAGACATCTATTTGGGGCAGGCGAGGCCATATGGTCACCTTGTGATACCAACGTCCATTTTGAGACTATAAGGTTGCTGTCTTTCCAGCTGATTGTGTCGTCCATATTACAATGCTGTCAAAACCTTACCTGATGCTCGTCTAGATCCTACGAGTGGTGCTACATGACTAGCCTTCTCCGTTGTTCTGTGCTACGCGGAGATAAGCATCGCGTCGCTGCAATTCACTCAGGAATGGAACTATCACACGGGTGTTCGCTCCTCTGTGAGGCGCGTAAAACAATGGGAGTATGTACCATCTAGCTCTCGGATGGCTCTTGCCAGTCCTCGTAGATACTTTAAACAATATTAGAGAAGTAGAAGAACAGCAAAGCTTCCTACATGCAACTGAACTATATATTCACTAAAGTTGCGGCCTGTGTTCCACGTCGTCTGCGATAAATTTTACCTAGTGATACCACCTCATGAACGGAGCATATGCTAATCTATTCGGTTTTGGCGAGACTCTTGTCAACGCGCTTTACGATACAAGTGCAAAGGTGTATTGCATTGCCGTGTGCAGGGCTTTGTAACTCAATTGGTCCATCACATAACCGAGCGCTGAAACCGAGTGGACGCGGGATGTGTTCATTTTCTGGAACTCGCCCGCCGACTACTCCGATGTTTGAAATATGGACGCTGAATCAATAGATACTGTTGCTGCCATAGAACCGCGCTGAATATTTCCCCGTATGGTTTTCTTTTCTGATGACGTTCCTCAGGTTGCTTCGCGAGAAACAGGCGCTCGCCCCCACATTCATTCTCATATGGCAGTGCTCCAAGCACCGGCTCGGGCGGATGGCATGGAAGATGTTGCAGTGAACAAACATATAGTAACGTATATGACAGGCGTGTGTCCCCAAGAGATTCATGACGAGATAAGCCTTATGGTCAACGGCAGTTGGGTCCCAGATTCGGGATCGCTGATAACATAAGGTCGGCCGACAATGTTTGCCTTCCGCCCAATGTCCTCCGGGGAAATGGCAAGCCTGAACTCGAAAGCTCGTATAAGGGTGAACAGTATGACCTTCATTCTGCATAGTCGTGAGTTGTGAAGAATGTTCAGGAGACGTCCAACGTACTCGACCATAGCGAAGCGATATCCGACGCAGGAGTGGGTCCCTCCAAGGAATGTCATCATATGGCTGTAAATCCCGGGAATGCGCTTCGCTGCGTCCGGTATCGCAGATTGGAGCCACCGCTCGGGTCTGGTGTCTAGATGAGATAAAGGTCATTGGCGTTCATCGGCAAGGACGTACCTAAACTCCTCGGCGTCCTCACCCCAGAGCTCCTTCGACCGATTCACTGCTCTGATCGGGACGAGGATGTTGTCGCCCTTTTTCACCCTGAGAGAGAAACAGGGAGTACAGATCAACGTCCTGAGCCGCCCGCGGACCTGTGTCAACCGCTCGCTGCGTACCTGATGCTCTCTCGCGTGACGCCGTCTTTGTCCACGTACGGTGTGTCCAAGGGTATAACGTCGTCTCGAGTCGCCACCCGCTCCGTCGTCGCCAACGGAGAGTGATAACGTAGTCCTTCTCGCACCGTCGCGTCCAGATATTCCAGCCCATCCACTTCGTCCATGTTTATCGCGTCCGACCCGACCAGCTGCAGCTCAGCCCGCAGCTTCGATTGAACCGAGGGGTGCACCGCCAACGAGAACAGGATCCACGTCAGCGCCGTCCTGCTTCCAACGTGAGTCGCTCCCCCACTACTATGCGTCGGTCTACGTACGACGTCGTCTCGTGTCCGGCCACGAGGAACGATACCACCTCTGGAGGTGCCGTCAGTTTGAAAACCACGCGTTACCCAAGCGACCCGATGCTCACGGGCCAAGAGCTCCTCGTCGCTCATCCTCGCATCGCTTTCGACGTCGACGGCCATGTTCGACTTGATGAGCAGCGAAAGCAGATCGCGCCCTTCGATCGAGTTCTTCTCCACCGCCGAGTCGGCTCGAATGGAGGTGGAAACGAGCTCCGATTTCTTGTCCGCGATCATCTGCGATCCGATGCGCCTGATCACCTCCAGCGACCTCGCCTGGATCCGGGTCCGGTCCGTCGGCTGAGGTGGAGGTGATCAGCGTCGGAAGCGTTCGCCTGCGTTTCCGTGCTACGTACGACTACTCGGGTGGCCGGGATAAGGAGTTGAATGATGAATGATGGGCTGACGTAGTCGAAGGAGAACATGTCCCGGACGGCCTTGTTGAGTTCGTTACGGTCGTCGTCCTCCCGACGGATGCTGTCGAAAGCGTAGTTGAAGCCTGTACGCACGGCGTATCAGCGACGCACGCGTCGAGGGCCCGTCGACGCGTACCTGCTAACCCTATAATATCGAGGGCAAGCTTGTCCATCCACCCGAACACGTTGATCTCGCACTTTCCGTCCCTGCGTGACGATCGGGCAGAGAAGGACGTCCATATCTCCCTCAGCTGCCGGACCGGTCAGCGTCGGGCGCGGTATGATTGTCTGAACGGAACGTACCTCTAGCGATTTCTCGAAGAAAACCGGAGTCAAGGAGCGGATCTGGGCAAGGCCGAACGCGGGATTCTGTGCAGGGAATGAGGCCGGGATGGTACGATCGCGAGGCTCTCGAGCATACCGTGATCTTTCGCTACGGAAAAGGTCAGATTGTGACCGTGATATGGGTTCGGGAACGCACCATCTGCTTATGGCGGTCGCCTTCGACGAAGAGGAGCCCTGTCGAATCGGATGTACTGAGATTCACGCCCGCGACGCAGTACGAAGGGACGCGAACCTCTTCCTACCATTTTGCCGAGAATGAATCGCACCACCTCGGACTTTTCATACACATCCGAGGTGGTGATGTGGTTCAGGGCGCGCAGGTCCGATGTATAAAGCTTGTAGGACTGTCACGGATGTCTCAGTGTCGGAGTATGAGCACGATCGTCGACGATTTCGGTGGCGTGACTCACGTTGAAGAATGAACGAAAGACGTATGAGTGGCCGTATTCGGATGCCCACCTCTCGAAGAGGCGGTACCCATCGGCCTCTGAGACCTCGCCGAAGCTGCCTTGGAGGAACCCGGCGGAGGGTGGGCCACGGAAATCTTCGAGAGTTGGATCGTGGACGTTGAGGGTACGGCTAACGGCGGCCCAGAGCAGGACAGCGACGAAAGATGCACCAGCCAGCTGGCTAGTTGTCGGTAAGGGTAGCGACATGGGGAAGCTCCGAGCTGCGAGTGTCAAGTTGCTGAAGGATAGATTGACCAACTTGCGAAGAGCACGTTCCAGATTCGAGCGCGCGGACGTCCTCTTGTTTCCGCCATGGGCATTAGATGCATTCCCGGCACGAGTGTGGCCATTCACACAGAGCCAGATCTGCTTTGAAGGTCGAATCAGAAACATTCAGGTGGCGGTCCTGTCTCCGTACGATTGATGTGACATAACTGTCACAGGAAGGTACCAGTTGGGACTCGCACTACATAGGATACGAGATTGCGAACCGCTCTACTCCCGGAGAACTTGCTGCTGTCGCTTAGGGAACACGCGTCTGACATACTACAGAATTTTCATTCAGGTTAACCCGACGACGTCTCGTGAGATCGCCGCAAAATCGAGCTGACGGGATTTCGGACCATCTTGATGATGGTCACTACCCGCCGACATATGCAAGCATGGGCCCACAAGGATGTTCTAGGGGTGCATGTGTCATAGATAATATAGAAGACGTCTCTCCTGCATTTGAGTACACACGAGTCCATACCAGTCAACTCGGGAGCACTTCACTAAGTACTCGGAATCTTCGTTGCGGGAAACTTCGAGAGTCAAACATATCGCAGAGAAGATACCGGAGCTATGATGCGCCGATGCAGGCAAAACCACCTCAGGCTACCTTTTGGCACAGCTGATTAGGTGCATCTCCATCAGAAAAAAAATGGTGCTTATTAGCTCCTTGGACCATGGCACGTGGACAATGGACAGATATGGAGGTACGCCTCAGGAGTGCCACCAGGGCATTTGGACGGGCCACCATGAAGGACGTGTCAGAGCTCAACGGCAAGGTGATGGTCACCGGTGAGCTTGGCGTTTCCGGTGACATATCTCCCTGACGTGGTTGTCCAGGTGGGAACTCCGGTCTAGGGCTCGCGGTCGCGAAGGTTAAAGTTTTTTTTTTTTTTTGGGTTGGAGCGCTCCGACGCAAAGGTGTCAGGTGGTCAGTACTGGTAATAGGTCAGGCCTTTCCCAGTAAGCCGCGCCGAGGTTTCCGGGGAATTGCAACCCTGGAGGAGTGTACCGCGAGGAAATGCGTTACGCACATAGTGTGGGACTCGGACTTAGCATATAGCATATCATAGCATAGCATAGAGTAGACATCGGGTTCATTTCTTACCTTGAGTGTATATACAGTCTAACTTACCTTTACCCGATGTGGTAATGATTTAATCTGGGTCCATACCCACTAAAACCCCGCTCCATCCTACCCAGTCTTCGGGTAGGAGGTTTTCGTTTTGCAGTGTGCCGGACCACGTCTCTAGGACCAGGTCTCTGTTCACCGCTTTGGCGCCAAAGCTTGCTCGGTCCGCTAAGCGGCAATCTAGCTTTAGCCTCGCGTTCATCGCCGCCTTCCATCGGTTCCTTACTTCCCGGCGTGTTTTTGGCTGGTTTCCGTCGCGGATCACTCTCTGGCACCGCATCTTCCATATCAAGTGCGCAGATTCTGCAATTAGGATCCGGTATAGTCGTGTTTGTCCCCGATTGATTTTCCCTTTACTGTTCCTGATCTCTGTGCACTGGCTTCCGAGTATGGCACCTATCAGGTGCGACGGTAGATTTGTCTCTGTGTTCTTTTTCCTCCACAGGTTGCAGGCGAGGGACCATATTTCTTCTTGTCCCGATGCTCGGCACTCCATCAGTATGTGTTCCATTGATTCTATTTTGTCGCAGTGTGCACACACGCTCCTCTCTCTCAAGTCTGCGGGGCAACTTGGGCGAAGCCATTTGTCACCTAGCATGTATGCGTCATGCATAGCCATCCATAGGAAGTACCGCGTTTCTCTGGCTATGTCTTTGTTCTGAATCGATTTCCATATTCTGGTGGGGGAGGGCAGTTTATTGAAGAGGGATTTACTGGCGTCTTGTACTAGTTCTATGTTCCTTGCGGCTCTCTCTCGTACTCGGTATTCTTTCATTTTGTTTTCTCGAATCACTTTATATGCTAGTTTTTGGGTCATTCTGGATAGTTTTGCCCCGGTTACTTTCAGAGTAGGGGGGATCTCTAGCGGCACTTCGTCGCACGTCGTTTTCTTAACGGCCTCTGCAGCTTTCCGATCGGCTCCTTCATTCCTTTCATGTCCATTATGACCTTTGATCCATTTCATGCTTGTGTTCTTGGGGCGCATTTGTAGCGCAGCCACTGTCGCCTTCGCGATTTCGCGGTTGGCAACTGCTATGTAGCCTGTGTCTTCTCTCTTCTTCAGGTGTGTTATTGTTTCTCCGATGACATATTTAGAGTCAGTCTCAATGTCTAGTGCTCGTTCGTGTAGTACTTTCTCGGCACAGATTTTGATCGCGACCATCTCTCCTGTCTGGTTTGATTGGTCCATCCTTTCCGGCAGTCTCGTGGCAAAGTTCATTTCGTCGCCCTCGGTCACGAAGCCTCCAGCGCCGGCTATCGCATCCGCATCTCCGTTGTTCACACAGGACCCGTCTGTTGCTATCACTATTCCATCACTCTGTGGGGTCTCGTTGTTCCTCGCTATGTCTGGGAGTTCGTTCGTGGTGGTTTCCTCAGTGAAGATCCGGAATATGTCTCCCAGTTCGCCTCTCGTTGTCAGCCTGTTGTCGAAATTCAGGCTGCCGTCTGGGTTCTCATCGATAACGTCCCTTGGCTCTCAGTCCTCTGGTTTTGGCCCTCTCGGGTTCCACTTGGGGGGGAGTGTACCTAGGAGCTCATCTGCCTTGGTATAGCACTTGTGTGGGTTGGAACATCCCATGCTCCGCATATTCTTACAGTTGCAGCATTTGCAGTTCCTTCGCGGTTTATGCGACCCTTCGTGCCTTTTGTCCGCCATTAATTCTGTATCGCCCACCGTTATGACGCGGTGCGTCGTCTTCAAGCATTTGGCCGGCAGTGATCGTTCGAGTCTGTGTATTCTTGGGTCAGCCTCCCTGTGTCGCCAGATTGGCATTTTACGAATGATGTCTCTCGAGAAGGCTATCCCTTCAGGGCGGACGCCAAATTCGTTTGCTGTTTTCCAGAGGTCACGGAGCTCTACCACGATGTGTGTCGTATTGCTCTTGCTTGTCCTCCATGTTTGCAGGAAGATATTGACTTTTACGCTGTTCTCTAGGTTTCGTTCCGTCTTCGGCGTTCTCGCAGCGTATAGGGCATCTGCGAAAGTTGCCCATAATGGACGCTGTGGCACGAAGTTTAGGTATTCCCGTAAGTTCATGATTTTGATCGCCTTGTTTCTTGCTCGTATATCAAGTACATTTTGGCCCCCCATTTCTATCGGTGCTTGAAGTGTCTCCTCTGCCACTGCTGCAGCCGACTTATCCGCACGCATGAAGCTCGAAATCCGTCGTGCAATCTTTGTTTCAATGTGAGGGGGCATGCCTTGGACTGTTGTCAGGTACTGTGTCATGCTCCCCGCCGTTAGCATGACTATGAGTTTCCTTCCCAGGATCGTTGGGTGGGTCCGTTCCCATTGCTCTAATTTTTTATCAATCTTGTTGAGCACTATCGTCCACGGGCCTTCCACTTCAAGGTTATTACCGTACCAGGCCCCTAGGAGGCGGATGCTTTCACCCTCTGCTACCATGTGGATGTCGTCGTTGATCGGCACAACGCATCCCTCTGTCTTCCTCTCTCGAATGACCGTTTCCCGGTATTCTGGGGTTCCGATAGGGAGTATCTCGGTTTTTCCTATGTTGAATTTTGCTTTTGACGCTATACACCATTTCTTCAGTATTTTTTGTAGGTCCTCAAAATCGTCGAATTCGGACAGGAACACCGTGGTGTCGTCTGCAAATAGCCGTGCGATGAGCTTATCTTCTGTGCCTGGTATTTTGAAACCTCTTAGGTTTGATGATCGTAACATTTCCGCAAGCGGCTCAATCGCGAGGTCGAAAAGTAGGCATGAGAGAGGATTGCCCTGCCGCACTCCGCGGATAACTCTGTATGGTGAGCTCAGAGTTCCGTTGATCATCACTCTTGTCTCTGCATGTGCGTATAGGTTTTTTATTGTTCTTATGAAAAAATCAGGGACTTTGAACGCTTCGAGGGTCCTCCAAAGATAGTTGTGTGCGATCTTGTCATATGCTTTCTCCTGGTCCAGCGCTACTATGAGGCCGTTCTCTTCCATAGCTTCCGCGTATTCCATCACCATCCTTGTGAGTTTAGTTTGGTCCGTTATTTGTCGCCCCGGTACAAACCCAGCTTGGTCCGGATGTACTAGGTCGGTTACCACCTCCGCCAGCTTCAGGGTTAGTGATTTTGTAAGTAGCTTGTAGTCCGTGTTGAGGAGGGATATCGGCCTATAGTTACTAATCTCGTTTCTATCGTTCTTCTTGTATAGTGGGCACATCCAAGCTTCGGTGAACTTTGTTCTTGGGTCAATGCCGTGCAATTGGATGTCGTTAAAGGCCGCGGTCATCACTTTAATAACATTAAAGGGCTCTCGATCCTCGTGTTGTGAGTCCTCTACATAGCGGGCGTGCAGTGTTTTCCACAGTTCATACGTTGCTCCGTCTAGACCGGCGGCGCTCCCGTTCTTGGAGTGCTTTAGTGCGTCTTGTACCTCTCTTTCTGTGATTAGTCCGTTCAGGATCGCTTTTCCTCTGTGGCTCGGTTCTGACTTTATGGTTCCTAGGACTTCTTGTATTGTCTTTTCTCGGGATTCGGGATCTGCAATATCTTCCTCCCGTTGGAGGGCTTCGTGGTAGTTCCTGGCGAGTTCGGCCATTTTCCCCGTCTCTTTCTCATACTCAGCATTGCCTCCTGGTTGGGTTCCCGGCTGCGGCGGGATACGGAGGGCGTATATCATGTCACGCGGTTTCTTTTCCTTGCTAGTTTGTATCCAATGGCAACTGATGGTTTCTCCTTCTAGTCTGCTGCGTACTGCGACCGCTTCCCTCGCCTTGCCGTGTCTTTTCCTTTCAAGCTCCTCCAATTTTTGTGTGAGGATGCCGGCTTCCCTCACATGTTCGTTTTCGTCCATTTCCCGGTTTAGGACTTCGGCGATGTCGTTCTCTAGGGCTTCCTGCATCTTGACTATTTTGGGGACCGTCTCACGTTCTCGCTGCCTGGCTGC